GGACAAAGATCCTACATGAGGAGTAAGTGCACAGTGACTCCTGTTGTTGACTTAACAAATTGACACTCTTGTTTATGGCATCAGTAATCACCCTAGGCTCTTGTCATGAGCTGCCAAGGCTATGGAAGCCCCCTGAGTTCACCAACTCTGATCATATTTAGACAAGGCCATGGTCAAAGTGGAAGTTCTCTCCTCCCTTCAGAGAAAGGTACCTCCTTCTTTGATGGCCCATTCTTTCTGCTGGGATCCCACTCACACAGATCTTTCATTTAGTTTTTTTTTTTTTCCACCAGAGTGTCTTGGCTTTCCATGCCTGAAATACTCTCATGGGCTTTTCAGTTGGATCCACATGCCTTAAGGGATGATTCTGAGGCCAGAGTGCTATTTAGGACATCTGCCATTCTATGGGTCTGCTCTGTATCTCACTTCCCATGTTGGATCATTCTCTCCCTTTTTTATTCTATCAGCTAGTATTTGCAGACACTATTCTTGTTTATGTGATCCCTTTGGTTCTTAGTCCTATCATTATGATCAATTGTGAACAGAAATTGATCACTGGGACTAGTGAGATGGCATTGGTACATGCCACCTTGATGGGATTGAATTGGAATCCCCTGGTATGTTTCTAACTCTACCGTTTGAGGTAAGTCAGCTTGAGCATGTCCCGAATTGCACATCTCTTCACTCTCTTATTCCGACTCTTATATTTAACAGCGATCACTTTTCAGTTAAGTTTCAGCACTTAAGAAGAATTGTGTATTGATTACAGTATTCGACCAAAAGTATTAAGTAGAACAAACAAAAAAAAATACTAAGAGGGATAACATATCAAGTTGCTCATCAACAGTCAGGGTGAGGGCTGATCAAGTCACCATTTCTCATAGTGTTCATTTCACTTTAACAGGTTTCCTTTTTGGTGCTCAGTTAGTAGTCACCTATCAGGGAGAACAAGTGGTATTTGTCCCTTTGGGATTGGCTTATTTCACTCAGCGTTATGTTTTCCAAATTCCTAAGAACCTCTATCTATGTAATTTCATAATTAACCAATCCTATTATTTTCATGTTGAAATTCTTATCCAATGCCCATATATTGCTGAACTCAAAAAAAGCATGAGTTAGCTATTTTTTTAAATAATTCAGGTTGTTTGAACTATGATAGGGCAACCTCTGTGTTAATTATCTTCATAGAACTAAACATAGAAATCAGAGCATAATTTATGTAATATTATCAAAAAAAAACCTTCATAGAGCAGCTTCTCAAACTTCCACACCAAGCCATTTTGTTTCTACATTAAGTAAAACATTTGACCTATGAGAATACATACATAAACTTGATGTCTTCTCACATGAATGATGACCACTGATCCAAGGATAATCATGATTAAATTTTGAATTACTTTTTATAGCTCGTAGCTCATTGCCTGGCTTGTAATATATACTCGGTAAATTTTTATTTAAATGGTAAGAGAATAAATGACTGCTTTCAGTGGTTGAGGGCCCATGATAATTAGTGTGTGTGTGTGTGTCTGTGTGTGTATGCACATTTGTACATGTGGGAAGAGTGAGAGGGACAAAATTAACAGCTCACAAGAGAATCAAACCTACAGCTTAGCCTTATTTTACACCCTTCTCTCTTTTGGTATTCCTCAAAGCATTATGCCCAGAGGAAAAAACAAGTCCCTTGTCTTCATGATGCACTAAATAAAAATCTGAGGGAGAGATCTGGGAATCTGTACACAAAGATCCTCATCCTCACCTTACCTGGGTCTTTCCATATAGTTATGATGTCCAATAAATTTTGAGAACCCCTGAAAGGCACTCAGATAAAGTTTTAAATTTAGAGTTCAAAAGTTTAGAGCAAGTAATTAACACAGAATACAAGTGGCTCTGGCTTGCTTTTCCAGAATCTAAAATGAAACTGAAGAAGAGGGTTGTCACCATAACCTATTAAATGAAAGTTTTAAAGGAAGCTTGGTGTTTATGTACTTTATTCTGGTTCTACATAAAACCCAAGTCAGATGCTGCTGCAATGTTACCAGTTTTGCAAAGTGATTTCTAAGTAGAAGTGTTCTGCAAGCATGTCATAAAAACTGGTGATTGTGGTTGCAATGATCATGCTGCAAGTTTCTGAATGGTCAGGTGTCTAATTGCCTATGATTGAATATTCTTCCATGAATAAGGCACAGAAGCCTAGTTCATGCTGAGGAAACCATAAACTAATCAAAACCAGATCTTCTCTATTTGAGATTGGTCCAATACAGTATCTATTTCCAAAGCTCATGAAGGAGAGGACATGCAATTCTGAACAGAAGAATCATTTATACTTTCAAAGGTATCCTTCAAAGTAAAAAAAGTTGGGTTTTTTTTTTTTTGGTATAGAGAATGAAGTAAATATTTGAGAGCATTTCAAAAAGTTAATGGAAAATGGAATTAAAAGCTAAATTTGTTGCAAAAAAATTGAAATTTATACAAGTTTTTCAGAATATGCATTTTCCATGAACATTTTGAAGACTCCTCTTTCATATATACATGAGAAATATATATATATTTCTCTAAAATATATGTATATTTACATTTTATTTCTCATAGAACTTTCAGAAATTTGAAAAAGGAATAATCAATTGAATCTCAGGGATCAAAAATTTAAGTATATACATTATGGCAATGAAATTAAACTCATCAAGTATAAATATTAGTTAACTGACTATACCAAAAAGATAAGCCAAACAAAAATAAGCATAGAAGAAAAACATATTAACAACATTAGCAAGAGTATTTTATAATTAACCAACTGGCTGTTGTCAACATTAGATTGTTAAACAGCTAATAGCTAAGTACATCATTTATAAGCCACTTCATTCAAGCAATACTTCATTATTTGACTAATTTGCTAATTTCAAAGTTTACCATACTGCATATTTTATCCACAATATAAGTATTGTGCATATATGTGAAAACATACATATTGCCACACATTTTAAGTTATATATATTTAAAGTATATAACATGATGTTAGTATGAAATGATTGCTATAGTCAAGAAAACTGAAATGCCCATATCTTCCCATAGTTATATTTTCGTGGAGGCACCTAAAATTTATACTTTAAAAAAATTTCCAGGATATGAGATAATATTATTAACCACCATTATCATGCTGCGCATTAAATCATTAGATTTATTCATCCTACATACATGAAACATCACATGCACCTTTTAGCCTACATCTTGCTATTCTCCAACTCCTGCCCCAGTAAATGTCATTCTATTCTCTATTGATTATATATTTAATTTTTTAACTATTACACACACAAGTGAGATCATGATACACTTAAGGCATCTATAATACAGATTGAACACCTCTATTTCAATAATCCAAAGTCTGAAACACTACCAAATCCAAAAGTTTGTTAAGCACCAACCTGAAACCACAAATGGGAAATTCCACATTAGTCTCCTGTGATGAGTTGCACTGAAGAAGCACATGTGCACTAAAAATATTATATAAAATGACCTTCAGGCTATGTGTATATGAAACATAAATGAATTTTACTGGGTAGCATCCCAAAGATATATTATTATGCATGTGTAATTATTCCAAAGTCCAAAATCTTCTGATACCAAGCATTTCATATAAGGGGCTCTCAACTTGTAACGTGAAATTTAGTCATGATATGTTCATAAGAAGTTCTAAGTAACTTTTTGTCATATCATTTCCTAGGGTACATAACACTCATTATGAGGAAATTCTTTATAGTATTAGATTCTGCCCTATATCTCTGAAAATTACTTGCTAAAATTCCACACCACATAAGAATATCCTAAATTTATCTCCTCCATTCCTATGGGTACAGTTGTTCCTTTATATTTTGCTTGTACTCAGATTTAGAATAAACATACACACATGCTCTTCTCTTGAAGTTGTTCTAAGTCACTAAAAGGTCACAATAACATCACTCACTTATGGAGAATTTTGTATAAATTATATTTTGGATGCAGTTCAAGAAGATTTCATTTCAAAAATCCAAAAGAACTTCATTCTGAAAGCAGCCTTCACCTATAAGGAGATTCTGTATGTGGATCAAGTCAACATTCTAAAACGGTCCCAGTATATCTTTTCTGAGATATTTAGCAATGACAAATGTTAAATGGGATAGCTAAGGATTTTTCATAAAGGCAGAGAACAGATACACAGCAAATGAGCCCTGATTCCTTAAATGAATTGTTCATATTCCACATGTAGCTTTCACTCAGTATAATTTATCAATTGTGAACTTCCCAACTATTTGATTTGCAGCCAGTCCTAAATTCACAGAAAGTTGGCTGTTTGAAACCAAGTCTTGCTTCCCAAACCACATTATACTTAGAATTTAATTTGCCACAATTTGGTGGAACCGATTCCTACCTGTAACTTTCAATTCAGTTGTTCGTCTTACAAGTTTTCCCTCATACTTCAGTTCACATGTGTAATTTCCTCCATCTTCTTCTTGAACTTCCTGGATTAGAAGAGCATTTCCTTTCTGTATTATTATGCTTCTCCACATTTTCGGCTTGCATTCCTGGAGAGAAAATATTTTCAAGTAAGTAAAAAATAAAAATTCACATCACTCTGTCAGTACTGGCAAGTTAGTACTTTCATTTTTGTATTCTATCACATTAAGAATCCCTATAAAGGCATAATTGCAAGAGCAAGAAGTCTTTAGAGAAATTTTGCAAAAGTAGAAAAAGCATACAAGCTCCCTAGGTATGAGACAGGTACATTAGAACCTTTAATATCACTAAACATTGTTATAATTTCTGAGTTCTTGCTATTTGACAGGGACATTTCCTAAGATTACTATACTTGATCTTAGCCAAAAGGCCGAGAAGTGATTCCTAAGATTACTAATGGGATGTGGTTTATTTAGCCATTTAGTATATTCCAGGGGTGTCTTTAAGCATTAAACATTTATGGTATACTTTTATATTGGCAATGGAGTTTATAATTGTTTCACTTCAATACTCCTTTATTGTAAAAACTAATACTCACACTTCAGAGTGCCCCTCCTTATAGTCATGAGATACATTTGGTGGATAAGGGTAAGGTATCTAGAAAATTTGACTTAAGGAGTTTTCTAGAAACACAGCTGGTTAGAATCAGGACATGCATTATTAAATGCATAGTAACAACACAGAGAAGTCATCCATTTTCTTTCTGAGTCCAGTGATACATAATCATAGAATAAGATTTGTGTTTTGAAGCAGATACTCTTACTCTGCTGATAGGAGTGTGAGAGAATCTTGCTACTGGGACCGCACTTCCCTAGAAAGGAATGTGTAACACTTCCAGAGAGTGAAAAGGATATTGTAATAACCAGATATGTAAGAATGTTCAGCCAAGAAGTTATGTCTTTGGGGAGTTTGCTCAAACTACTTTCTAGATATTGTCCTAGTTTGTCTACAACTCAACCCAAATGTTTAACCACATTCTATATAAATATCAATAGAGGCATAAGGGATAGCAATGAGGGAGTGGTAAATTATCAAGGCAAAATTATTTTATCATCTAAATTCTGAGTCTCTCATTTGAGGCAATAAAGAAACTGATAGTGAGGCAGATGAGAGCACTTTCCACTTTCCCCACTAGAGTGTGTGTATACTACAGCTGTGTCTGCATCTCCTCATCCTTCCCCTCCACACACAACATCCTAAACATGAACATAAAGTCAGAATCTGTCCTCTCAATCCACAGCTGTGAGTACTTGTGTGTGTGTGTGTGTGTGTGTGTGTGTAAATTATTTGGAAGAGTGAGAGCCCATTTATTAGTTTTTCACTGCAACATTTTTTTTTCTTTTATGTTAGCAGCAGTTTTGACAACAAAACTTAAAAACTAGCACTTAGGTTCCCAGGAATAATATTTAAGACATATGCTTGCTTTATGTTCAATACAACTACCCACACACATTGGCAGAGAGTAAATAAAAGTAATACTATTGAGGGCATCTAGATATAAGGCTGTTTTACTCCCTAAGGTCTTTCTGAAGAACAGTTAAGGGTCTGTCTGAAATTATATTACGTACCATGTCTGGCAAGGTTTATCACCTATATGAGATTTGCTTCTGAGTTAAATCTTGGGATATAAGGTTTCTGGGAAAATGAAGAAGAAAGTCTGACCAGAGAGTAAAAAAAAGCAGCCCAGCTGCTACTGTCATCACACAATAATAATCCACAATTATTTTCGCATTGCTCCTAACTCTGATAGCCTTAGATTTCTAAAGAATTATCCAGAAGGTCATTAAACAAAAATATGGCCCCTCTGGGCATTCTGACAGGAAAGGAAAATGAAAACTGAGCTGCTGCACTTCCACATAGCAGTGATGGGAGCAAGCAAAGGAGCCCATACACTCAATGTATTTGAAAACAAAAGCTGTCATTTTCTAGTGTCATTTTGGGGAAAGTTCATATGCAATTAGTTGTAACCATTTTATTTTCCCTACTCACTAGTGTGATGCTTTACCAGGAAGGAAAACCTAAACAGTGTATAGCAGTTATAACTACTGGTGGAAAACAGTCCAGAATCTTTACATGTTCTTTGGGATAGATCTAGAGAATCCCAACTACTTTCCAAGCTGCTTTCTCAAAGGATTCTTTGTAACCAAAGAAGGGTTTTTTGTGTATTTTTAGTTTTTTTATGGGGAGTGTTGTTTGCTTTTTATAAACTGTAGTTCAGGAAAATATTGTTTGTCTTCAAGTCCTCTCCACTCCTCTAGAGACAAGATCATAGAGATGAAAAGGCAAAACTGGATCAGGGAAATATATTTCCAGGTTGAAATTCATAGCTCACCCAAGTTCTGTGGTCTTGGAAAAATTTTCTTACCTTCTTTAGGTCTCAATTTCCTACTCTGCATTGCATGGATACTATTAAATACCATATGAGCAACCAGAACTTAGAGGGTTACAGGTTTACCCATTATATTCTTGTTGTGCAGACTATACATCATATTCATCCAACACAGAGAATGTTTCCCATTCCTGAACATTCCCAATACCAGAACATATCTCTTTAGAAACTCCGGCTCTGCTTGGTGATCATGGAATACTCAGATAAAAACAAATATTCACCAATTGGATACCTACCATACATTGAAATAATACTGAAACACACTGTAAATGTATGCTTCCAAGTGGCCATTCCAACAATATTCTTAGCAGATAGGTAGATATGTAGTTTGGTCAGAAGAGCCTTTAAATTACCTTTCCCTTCACTGCATATAGAAGACCACCCTGCTCCCATCAACCCACCTTTCTCATAATTACTTTCTTGGTTATCTCACCTCGTCAGGGTTCCTTCATAGAGTCTCAAAAGTTTCCCAGGTAATGATTCCATTATTCTGCAGTAGCTCTTCCCTAATGTACTGGCTGCTAGGCCTATGATTGTCACTGCTTCTTCCCTACTTCCCAACTTCCTGGTGGAGAGATAACATTGCCATACCTCATTGCCTACACCTGTTTAATTTCTGACAGACTGTTAGGCAAAGAAGTTTGGGGCAAATAGTTCAAGTCCCAGGATGGTTGCCTATTGAAGCCAAGACAAACCATCAAAGGCTAAAATGTGAGCAGGTTCCTAACACTGACCTCAACGTGTAAGTACTCTAATATCTATTGCCCTTGGGATTATAAAAATAAAATTCATCACGTTGAAAATTCTGCTGAGGGCCTGTCTTACTGGAGTTGCCTAAGTTTAACAAGCAGCTTCATTTTGTGGCCTGGCTGTCCTCAAATTGAATAATTTGTCAAGGACATCCTTGCTTAGTTAACATAATGTCAGTCATTAAATCCCATCTTCTTTTCTTCCCTATCAACCTTTCTGGGTGGCAAATGTCATTTTACACCAGTTTCTGGGTTGGAAGTCCTTACTGCACACAACAGACACATTTGTTGAGCAAGACTCTAGAAGTAACCTGTTGCCAGCCACATATGGATCTTGGAGTGTCCATTCTAAAATATGTACCAATGTGCTCACAGTCTACATCTGAGATATCATCATCATGCCCACAGGTAATTTTTATTTTTTAAATATTTTATTTATTTGAGAGGTAGAGTTGTAGACAGTGAGAGGGAGAGACAGATATAAAGGTCTTCCATCTGCTGGTTCACTCCCCAAATGGCTGCAACAGCCAGAGCTGGGCTGATTCGAATCCAGGATCCAGGACCTATTTCTGAGTCTCCCATGGGGTACAGGGGCCCAAGGACTAGGGCCATCTTATATTACTTTCCCAGGCCATAGAAGACAGCTAGATTGGAAGTGGAGCAACAGGGACTAGAATCAGCACCCATATGTGGTGCTAGCACCACAGGCAGAGGATTAACCTACTATGTTACAGGACCGACCACCACAGGTTCTTTTTAATCAGTTTGACTTTATGATTGTAGTTACTTTAGAGACATTTACAGCACATGACTCATTCCTTGTGGCAAGAACATCAAGAAGACTGATTTAAGTATCTCCTCTTATTCTGAGGTTCAACCACAAAACAGTTGCACAATTATACGCCAATCATGTAACTTCTGGTCTTCAAAGTACTTTTGTTCAAATACCTGGCACCCAGACTCTCAGATCAATTTCTTTCATTTCTCCTGCAATCTTTACTGTCACATAGGGCATCTCTATATCTAATTAACAATCTTTAAAGAACCTGAACTTTCTGTAACTTAAAAAATGGAAGTGATGGTTAGGAGCACACTCATAAATTGGGTACCTACCTTTACCTTTTGTGTCCTACCACTTCTACAAAAATCTGAAGAAAACTCACCCCAAGGACTCTTTCCCTTCCCAATCTCTATTTCTACCACTTTCTAGCTTCACAGTCTTAATGTTGACATTGGTACCCCACAGTGATTAAGCATATAAGTTCTAGACTTAGATGCTTGACTTGGAATCTCAAGTTGTATATTCTTTAACATGTTATTTAATAAACCTAAATCTCAGTTGATTTGCCTATTTAAAAAAGGTAGAGATATTTACTGAGACTTTATGAGGACTAAATGAAGTAATATATGTAAATGTTTTGTACCATGAGGTATCACATGGAGGCATCACATGCTAAACTCACTCGATAAATATTAACCATTATTCTATTATTATCAGTACCATCATTATTCTTGTTTCAGATTATATGTACATATATCTATTATGCTAATTAATATCAGAAGTTATTGTGACGAACATTTCTATGGAAGCATGGAGATAATGCTTTAGTCCAAACTTGCAATGATAATGCTGGAATCAAATTCTGTTTTTCTGTCTGATATGTGAAGGTCTTGGAAGTCATCATTACCATCCTTGCAAAGAAAAAAAGACTGAACAAATAGAAAATCAATAAGTCTTCATGGATCCAACATACAATTTAAGGCACAGAGAAAACTACTACTTCCAAAACTGGAGCTAAAAGAGAATACAGAAAACCACAGCTCACTTGGAGTAGAAGCAGCTGGAGAAGCCATTAATTGGGACAAACATCCTAGTTCCCTTTATTCTTTGAAATGGGGAAGGGGAATGTAAAACTCTAGTTCCAGTTAGCCCTTCAAGTAGAGGAAGAAAAATAGCCAACTTCAGCCCCCCTAGACTTCCTGTCTAAACTAATACGAGGTGAGATGGAGAGAAGCTAAGAATCACTTGTGAAGGCCATAATCAAGAGACAAGGCTCAGTAGAAATTTCCCCTCACTCTATACATTACCAACATATCAATATGGCTCCTGTCTAGGAATAGTAGATTATAGCTGAAAGAATTGCTAGACTCAGATCTATTTATAGAAAGTTTCTAGGGAAACCAAATGATGAAAAAGAGCTAAAAAGAAGGACATTAGAAAGAATTTAGCTTCTAGTTGTAGTA